TGTAACACAATGGTTTTTGTGTATCTAAACATAGATAATCTTATGGGACTACTGTCATACATGCAGCCCCTCATTGGTATGACATCCCTCATTGAATTAAATGTTGCATCACTATGTGGTGCATGACCATACTCAACTCTGCCATTGTAAATGAATGGGCATGGCTGTGTTCTAATAAAACTTTATATATAGGAATAAAAAAATAAAATGGATTGACAGATATACAACAGTACAAAAATAACAAACTGTTAACAATTGTAGACCCTACAATTTACAAGGTGGTTAACTACACAATTCTTTCAACTTTTCTATATATTTGAAAATTGTGATATTAAACCTTATTACATGTTGGAGGCAGATTCAATAAGGGGCCACTGAAGGTTTTTGAGGCAAAAGACAAAACTGAACTTATACAAGTTGAATATCTCTTATCCAAAGGCTTGGAATCAGAAGTGTTTTGGATTTGAGATTTATTCAGATTTTAGAATATCTGCATATACATAATGACATATTTTGGGAACAGGACCCAAATCTAAACACAAAATTCATTTACAAATTCATTTATACACACTTTATACATATAGCCTGAAGGTAATTTGATATAATATTTTTAATAACTTTGTGCATGAAACAAAGTTTGTGTTGAGTACTTACATGTGAAGTACTTACTTGTGGCATCATGTGACACTCAAGAAGTTTCAGATTTGGGGGCATTCTGAATTTCATATTAGTGATACTCAACTTGTATTCCACAAATATCACCCATGTAGTGCAAATGATACAATGAAGGATGGTTGGGTAAAGGAAGGAAGTAGTAAGTAGACTAGTATGATATTCTATACCACGGAAAGTATGAATATTTAAGGAGTACGGATTAAGTACAAAAAGAATTCACTAATGGAAGAAGAGACAGAGAAGTCAAGAGAAGCAGAAAGCTTCTTAGTATAAGGAATAAGGAAGGAGTTTCAAGGAGAAAGTTCAGTGTTTACATAACAGAAATCAAGCAACATGAGAACTGAAAAATATTTATTAGCTCATGCAATTGAGTAACCTTCATTATGCAAAAGAGGTATGGTAAGACTATAAACCAGATACAGTATATTGACAAATTCAAAAGAAACAAGTGAAGATCAAAGCAACCAGGCTGGCCAAGAAAAGGATAACTAGAGAGCAACATAAGGCAAAAAGATGGCATGCTTCTTTAAAACTGGCAAATAGAACGACTACCCTAAAAATCACCACATGTTATCTCATCCAGAACATGTACTATTGGGTGAGGCAATCAGCCACGGGCCTGAAAGTCCCTGCACATTCTTGCTGAGTGTGCCAGTTTGCAAAGCTTTCCATTTCCTGATACTGAGCTGTTTCTTGTGTAATAGTAAGTTACATAGGCAACAAAGAAGGTCAAGGCAATAGCAGGTGCCATCCCAGGGAGACATGAACTAGCTTGTTTGTTGTTTGCTACAATATTTGCTGTTTGCTTTAAAAAACTTTTTTTAAAAAGACACAAACCCACTGCATGTGTTCACGTGGACACCCAGCACAATCATAGGACTTGGTAGCAACGAAAACCTAAGCAAATATGCTGATGTTCGTGCTGCTTGCTGTGCCACGAGTAATAATGTTACTTGTCTCTGACCCGGGGGTCTCCTGTTTTCTGCCAGCAACCACGAAACATTAACAAACTTATTAGCTTATAAAAAGAGTACTTATTTATCATGTACCAGTCTCTATATGTCTTACTTATGTAACATTATTTAATTCTCATAATCCTAATGAGGTAAATACTAATATGAGGAAACTGAGGCTTCAAGGTTCGAAGTAACTAAGCCAAGGTCAAACAAATTGCAAACAGTACAACCTAAATAAAAGCCTAGATGACTTTAAAACCTGTGTTTTTTTATCCACTAATAGTCAAGCCTCCTTTCCAGATGATTTATCAAGGGCAACTCTAATTCTCCAAATATAAAAGCAAAGTACCTAGATCTTCACAGAATGAATGCTTCAAATTATGTTCAACAGAAAACTAACAGTTTGAAAATGTTAATATCTTAAAATTTTAAAAACAAAGAGCAAAACAAACAAAAAAACCCGTGGTCAAAAATTAGGAAAAGCTAGGTTAAACACATCCAAACTATTCTTTACTGTAGAATTTCTCTTGGTTTTAATATATCATTATAATATGTTTCAATATGTTAAGATATGTTAAATCTTCAAGAACGCTTATCATCATGCTGGAATACAGTTTGGGATACTACTGCTACAATCAACACTGCCAATTTAACTTGTACACAGAATACCTTTTAAATCTTAGTAGTCAGCTTGGTACAGGTACATAACGCTTTAAAATAGAGAACATCAAAGTTAGAATGTGGTCTAAGAGGCAAGTCAAGTCAACTACTTCATAGTTTGGCAACATTGCTCATTTCCTGTCAAACAAAACTGAATTTCCCATTACACAATGAAATTATGTATCATACCTGGCTTTTTCTGAAATTAGAAGGGTAACAATCAAGACTTTTGGTAGCTCTGCATTGTTATCCACTGCTTTACTTAACAAAATTTGGGCCCTTTTAACAACAGTAGGGAAGAAGAGACCACAGAAAAAGCAGTTTCCAGATAAAGCTTGTGCCTTGCTTAGTGGAGGTAAGTCATTCTGATGGTCCTGGGCATCACTGATAACTTTCCAGTTATGAAGAACTGTATTTTAACTCTTTAAATAAGTGATAAATTAACACCACGTACCACATGAACCCTAAGTATACTTACCTATCTTCTGACTTAGTCATCTCTTAACAGTCAACAACTGAAGTTGTTTATTGTTCCAATTTATTAATCATTCCAGTTTCCCCAAAAACTGAGCTAAAGGCAACCACAAAATAGTTGTGTTCAACATATGAGCCAGACCTACAGATTGATCCCTAGCTTAAAAAGTCTACTGGAAATGTCAATTCACCTGCTTCTCTGGCATATACCTAGATACACAGTTATTAATCAGGCCATTCTCAACAAAAGCAAGAGTTATGCTGTACAGATGAAATCACTGTGTTAATTACACAGTGAAAGAAATTAAAATCCAAATTTAAATTGTACTAAGATTCTCTAACACTTTGCCTTACAAGAAAAACAAACTGATGTCCTACCTCCTTAAAGTTGTAGTCCTTTAAAATGACTAGTACGTCCTATCTTTAGGACTGATTGTTGCCCTCTACTCTCAAGGAATACCTCCACCCATCCAAAGTCTATATAGGACACATCTTCAGTTTGAAAAAAGAACAATAAAATATGTCCACTTATTTTGAAAAGAATCATAGAGAAAAAGAAAATATCTTAAAACCGAGAGCAAATTCTAATATTTTGGTAGGAGGAATTTTAAAAAATAAATCTCAACTAGTCATAACTACTGAAAGCAAATGTGTCAATATAAAAAATTATTTTAAGGCACAGCTACATCAGTTAAAAATATTTTGAATAGTGATGTGTATGAGAATAGTGGATTCTGATAAGCAAAACATCCAAAGGGAAAGAATTCAAATCACCTTATCCATTAAGGGAAACACATAGAAATAGGAAAGATTGGAAAAATGAAACAAGCTCCACTGCTAATATTATTCATCTATTGCATTTTATTTTTACTAACATTTACAAAAATAAGAATGTCTTAAAAAAAAAAATCAAACCACCAAAAGGGTGATAAAGTGAAAAACGCTTTCCAGACTGGAAGCAACAATATTTTCCAAGCAATTAGGGGGAAAAAAAAAAGATACAATTTCAGAGGATTCAGAATATGGATCATTTAGAGGTTTCACAGGATATAAATCAGTTGAAAATGGAAGCATCACAAGCTTTTATCTTAGAAAAATGCAAAATTACATACATTGGGACCTCATCTTACAGTGTCCTTCATATTTTTCAGAATATACTTATTAATAGAAATTCTTCGTTCACAACTAAGTGTTACATCTGCAAATACATTCGAAGGTGAAATCTGGGACTAACATATCTAAATTTGTAAAATTTTACAAACCATAAACTGCACCACTAGCACTACGTATTAATGCTTTTCCTCTCCCTTGGTAAACAGGCTTAACAAAATCACCATCGGAAAGTTTACAGAATAACATGCTACCTAGCTGCAAGAGAACAGTCAACTATTGCTGAGTCCATTTTTAAATAGGGTTTACAAAAGGAATCTCCAGTGACACCACCAGCATACACAAAGGAAAAAATATATTAGAAAAATTGACACTGAAAATACAGAGGAAACGCATGTCACTCATTTCAACTTATAGTTACCAAGGTTTATACGGTTAAGCAGGAAAACCATGTAGTTAATGAAAAATATTTTTTCGAACAAGATTAGAATTTTTTCTAATAAAACTTCCTGTTTCCCCTCCCGCCAAAAAAAAAAAAAAGTGGGGATGTTGGGGAAAAAAAGAATAGTCACTTTTAATACTAACACAATGGAAAAGGACAAAATGACAAGGTTAACTAGAGCAGACAGACAAGATCAGCATTACGGCTATTCATTCTCTACAGTTCCACAATTCCTGACCCGCACTTCTGCCAAATCCATATCCCACCCCACGTAGTGCTTACACCTCCTCCTCGCACCCACCGGCCCACCACCGCCCCCGCATTTGTGACGGCGATCACCTTCCAGGCAGGTATGTGAACTCAGCCCCATTTCCAGTAGACAATCGACTAGAATGTCTCAGGAGTGACTGGGTCAGGAAATAAGAAAATGATAAAGTGAGAAATACAGAGATAAGTTTTAAGGTGTGCCGGGGGAGGGTGTCTTATATGGGGCTTTAGGAGCTTGGAGACCTGGGGCGGGAGAGAAGGGTCTCGAAGTCATAGACAGGAGAGGTGTGGGTGAAGCAGCTCCAAAAAATAAAAACATACACGTCTCCCCCAGGAATAGCCCGAGGAAAGGGACTCTTGGGGCCACGACGGGAGGCAAACCGGGTTCCGGGAGGCACAAGAGGCCGGGAACTCACCACCTGGTAGCGGCCAGTCCCGGGCTGGTGATGATCCATCCTGCCCGGCTCGGGATCCGGCTTCGGAGCGAGCGAGTCCCCTCGGCGCTCAGCTCCCTCGGCTACTCTCGTCAACGACGTCGCCGCCGCGGGGCCCCTTCCGCCTTCGGTTCTGCCGCCGCGGTTGCCCGGCGGGGCCGCTTCACTTCCTGTGGCTCCCGCAGCAGCCGCGAACAGCTCGGCGTCGGCCGCCGCTCGCTGAAGCAGCTCCGGGGCGCCGCGCGCGCTACTGAGCATGCTCGGGGTGGCCGCGCATACTCGGTGGCTCCTCCGGCGGCCCATCGGCACCACGGGTGGGAGGGGGGTCGCTGGGTGGGAGGAAAGGGGAAAGTAAAGCAAGTCCTGGGGAGCCCGGGTGTCAACTTGTCGGGAGCGGACGGTGGCAAAAGGAGCGGGGGTGGAGGAGTGGAAATGACCGTACTGGATTGGTCTTTTCTGTGTGCACGGGTTTGGGGCAGGCACAAGCGAGTGCACAATCACACCACTGGGAGACGGATGCTGAGGAGGGAGGGGACGCATTCCTAGGGCACCTGAGGGCAGGTCGCCTGTTCATCCAACGCTTCCTCTTATTACTCACCCAGCTTAGGACATGGCAAGGAGATTCCTTTCTAGGACATTCCTGGGAAGCTCATTCAAAATCATTAGTGGGGTAAGGGATTTTTTAAAGACTTTTTAGAGCAGTTTTAAGTTCACACCAAAAATGAGAGGAAGTTATATATACCCTCTGGCCCCTTGGCATGCGTAGCCTCCCCCATTATCAACATCCCCAACTAGAGTGATACCTTTGTCACAACTAATGAACCCACATTGACACGTCATTACTATCCAAAGCCCTTAGTTCACATTAGGGTTCACTCTTGATGTTGTACTTTCTATGGGTTTGGACAAATGTGTAATGACATGTATCCACCTCTATAGTATCATACAGAGTATTTTCACTGCTCTAAATTTCCTCTGTGAGATAACTTTTTTTTTGGGAGATGGGGTCTCACTATGTTGCCCAGGCTGGAGTGCAGTGGCTATTCACAGGCCCATTCATAGGGCACTACAAGCCTTTAACTCCTCAGTTCAAGTAGTCCACCTGCCTTGGCCTCCCAAGGAGCTGGGACTACAGTCGTCAGCCCTGTGGATACTTTTTTTAATTTTTTTTCCCCTTTTTGGCAGTAAGAAATTTAAGAATTCAGTGGACTCTTCAGACATACTCATATATCTCTCAATGAAAGAGACTTGAAGAGTTCTAGGTTACTGGAAGTGTAGAAGAAAATAATCAAATGAGGTAGGACTATTTTGTGATAATACTCAAATCAATAATTCCATAGGTTTTAACGGTAAGGAATGACTTTAGAGCATTGTAATGCTCAATGTCTGGTTAACCACACATGACCTACTGTGTGTGTTTCTTGCACAGGAAACAAAACATGTTTCTCTAGCAAATAGAGAAGAGCATGATAGGGCAGCAAAAGTACTTTTTAACCTAAAGACCTGCTTTCTATACCCTGAAAACTATAATCCCACAAAATCTGGCCGGGCTATCTGTTTTAAGATAGCTGACCCCTTTCCCCTAAATGATCTTGCAATGGAGCCCCTGAATGGAAGGGAAAGGGATATAGAGCCCCATTCACTTTACTTCTCTCATGAATGTCCAGAGGAGATTCTTGGAATGAAGAAGGCCACTGGATGAGCAGTGGTTAAAACAGCAAGATACAATAAAGACAGAAACTCATTGAGAGATCATCAGCTAAACAACTTAAAACTTCCTGATAGTTCTTCTCAAAGCATTCATCAGCAATTCCTATTTTTGCCCTCTCAACATGTCTAGTAGTAGAGAGCATTACTAGGCTTACAATTCGAGGTAATGATATCTCACACTTAAGTTTCTTTAAACTTGCCTTGTTTTGATCTAACTTAATGTATTTTAGATACTGAGACAGTAAACATATGCCATTATACTGATTTTATTGGTATAAGCGCTTACTCTCACAATTTCACCCAAATGATACTGACTCTCAATGATCAAAACAAATAGCCAGTGTCAGCAAAATGAAATTAGATCCCTGCATCACTGACAATCTGTAAGATTCATTTAGAACTTAATTTTACATGCACATATGTTTTCATTAATCATTTATATGTTCATTTGTTTCTCAAATAGATTGCTGCTCAGAGCAGAGACCATTTTTCACACCCAGAACAGCACTGAAAATGTAACGGTGAAAACCAAAAGACCTGACCAAAAGCAGACACCCTGAATCCTGATAGAGTAACACATTCTTTCAATTTTACCCTCATCCTGAATTCTATAAACATTTTGCTAATCTAGCAGAGCAAATGTCAAAATTCAACAGGAAAGCATATTTTTAAGGAGGAAGAGGAAGAAAAAGAGGGGAAAGAGAAGTAGAACAACAGCTTTTTTTTTTTTTTTGAGACAGAGTGAGTGCCGTAGCGTCAGCCTAGCTCACAGCAACCTCAAACTCCTGGGCTCAAGTGATCCTTCTGCCTCAGCCTCCTGAGTAGCTGGGACTAACAGGCATGCACCACCATGCCCGGCTAATTTTTTCTATATATTTTTAGTTGTCCGATTAATTTCTTTCTAATTTTAGTAGAGGCGGGGTCTCGCTCTTGCTCAGGCTGGTCTCGAACTCCTGAGCTCAAACAATCCGCCCGCCTCGGCCTCCCAGAGTGCTAGGATTACAGGCGTGAGCCACTGCGCCCGGCCAAGAACAACAGCTTAATAAGTATTAAGCCCTTCTTACGCCAGGGACCATGCATGTGTATTTCATCCTCACCACAACTCCGTAATAAAGGCACAATTGTAAATTCCGCTAACAGATGAGGAAACCAAGGCACAGAGAGGCTCAGGAACTCATCCAATGGCAAATCATTGATAGATGGTGACAGACATCAGAACCTCCCGCATATTAAGCACTATCCTCTAATATACCCTAAAAAAGAAAAGGGCCCTTGTCTCTTTACCTTTTGTAGCTACTACTGTTGTGAAACTTGTGCGAAAGACATAAAAAGAATAATAATGCTTAACAAAGAGCCAATCTGACTTCCTGAAATCTCATCTTCTTGGTCTATATAAAATAATAATTCTTTCTAATTATCCCCCAAAGAACCATTCTGAGCTCCTTTTGCCCATTTTACAACTAAACCCAGGTGACCTATAATGGACCATCACAAGCAGAGGCACCAAGTTGTCCCACTAGGAGCAACTTATTTGGGATGAAATGGAAATAACAATATTCTTTACCCTTTTAGAGGCCTCAAGCAACATCCAATAATATTTTCCATCCCTGATCTTTGGGTGACAACTCCAGTTACCTAAGGAATCAATGGTGGTGCACCACTATGAGCTACCTCAAGTAGAACTGTGGAATTTTAGTGCACTTCACTAACACCTCTTGTTCTGGTCTAATTAGTTTTCACCTCCAAACACAGAGCCACCCAAAATTTTACAAGTGCAACACTGTAGTACTGGGAAAGACATGAAGATAAGCTGCCTACATTCCCTTTCAAAAAGGCACTCTACCCAGCTGCAAAGAATGTGGCTAGCCGAAAACTTCCAGCTGTTAGCTTTGTCAGGGTCCCCCGCAGCTTTCAACCTGAGGTAGTGATATTTTCAGGGCAGCACCCAGCCATCGACTGAGCAAGACAGTGGTACAAGGCTCTAACTGTTTTTGCCAGACACTGGAGCCCTTTAAGAGGCAAACATTGCTTCTGAGCTCCCTGCTGAGCTGGCAGAGACTTTTGTCAGCTCTACATCACGTTGTGACAGCTCCCCCTGCCCAAACATTTTTCTTTTCACAGATGTTGCTCCCAATGAATCTCTTGCAACTTATAATTTTATATCAGCATCTGCTTCCTGGAAAACTTGACCTAGGCAAGTACCAAGATGTAAAGTGACAGAACACTATTAATGTTATCAAAATTGTGTTAAATCATTACAACTGTCATTTTATGTGGGTGATGTTTCATCTTCAGAATAATCCTCAGTACTCTATGTGGTTAGCCTTTTCTCATATGGATGTAATGTATCTACAGCCTCCCTACTAAGAATAACTTTGATGTTCTGTAGAGTGAGGCTGTCACTTCATAGGGACCTTTTTGCCTGGGACATACTTTCCCATTGGGAGCCCCTCCCACTTTCCCAGAAGCACAGCAATTGTCTCCAGAGGTAAAATAGTTTCTTAACATCCACCATCCTCTCTCTTTACTTCTAATCAGGCGTGTTGACTTACATATACATATGCAAATGTCTTTATTGACATTTTCACCAGTTAAATAGCAGTAAACATGCTGTTGCCATAAACAGAGGCCTAAATTACAGGTTGGCAAATGTGCCAAATTTTCCTTATTTCTTCAGTGATTTTTAGTTTTTTATCACTTCCTCTGCAACGTAGATTGTATAACATAGAACTGCTCCCCAAAGGATGATGGTTAGTGTGATCTTAATAAATAATTGCATTTGGAATATGTGTGATTTTTGTATATTTATCTGGAGAATGACTGAAAAGAGGTAAGATTACATTCTTTATCTGAAAATGTCTATATCTATCTAGTAAAAATTCACTGGCCATCATTTTCTGACCATTAAATTCTAAAGTATATGCTAGAGAATACAAGAAACATGCTTTCCACTTTAGTAAATGAAAATAAGCACAATAATTAGTTTTATCTCTGTTGCCATGTATATGAGTCTTTTAATCAGTTTGTAGGCTTAACCTTCAGTTTAGCTTCACATAGTGTCCCTTATTTAACTGGTTCTGAGATTCTTGGCATCTGTTCAGCAATATGATTTTAGAGAGGAAGTCTAAAGTGAGCAATTTGACAATCAATTATCTACTTCCTTTCCCTCTTTTTATTCTCGTCCAGTATGATGGAAGAATCTAAAATAGAGCTAATGTTTTTATTAGGATTCAACTAGAGAAACAATCAGCAGAAGACATATGATGAGAGATTTATTGCAAGGAATTGGCTTCCTCGGTTGTGGGGGCTAGCTGGGCAAGTCCGGATTGCGCAGCACAGGCCACTGGGACTCCAGGGCAGGAGCTGAGCCTGCTGTCTAGGGTAGAATTTCCTCCTCGGGAAAGTCTCCATTCTGCTCTTAAGTACATTTAACTGATTAAATCAGGCTGACCAGATTATAGAGGGTAATCTTCTTTACTTAAAAGTCAACTGATTTAGAACTTTAATCACATCTATAAAATACCATCACAGCAATGCCTAGATTAGTGTTTGATTTAATAATTGGGGCTATACGCTAACCAATTTGATACAGAGAACTGACATCATCTGTTTATTTAAATGCTAAAAGCTAAAATGGTCTCTATATAATAAAGATAAATAGAGAGAAAGAAGAAGGAAGAGGAGAGAGAAAGG